AGGCAGAATCTCCAGTGGGTACTATTCAATCTGTCTGGGCAGAGCTGATGAAAGGAAATACAGATGGGTAACTCGTGATACTGTAGTGAATGCTTATCAGGACGGATTATGAGGGTTGGAAATGTGAAGGTAGACATTTTGTAACAAGGAAGGGAGTGATTAATTCGACAGGCTAGGAGCGGAGGTCTCTGGGACCATCAACAGAGAAGAGCCGAGAGTGGGACCCTACCCAGAGAAACAGAGATGGCTAAGATGGAGACAGAGATGATGACGTGGAGTAATTAAGCGGCTGGGGACTTTGGATCCAGAGAGGGAAAGGGACTGTGGGCCGAAAACTGGGGGGGGAGGGGGAGGAAAGTGTAGGGGGCGGGTTTCTAGGATATACCCTTTGGGTGGTTGATGATGCATGACGGGGATTGGAACCATGGCAATGAGATGATATACGATGGAATGTATGTAAAACTAAAGTTCTCTCATGTAAACTATCATATAATTCACAATAAAATAATAAAAAATAAAAAGGAAAAAAAAAAGGCAACCTCAAGGCAGACCCTCAAATCGTTATCCACAGCCCTGCTCTGAGGCCGGGGGCCCCAACATGGAGGCTGACAGCAGTAGCAGTGAGGAGCCTGGGGTTAGACCAGGCCCTGGGCTATGGACAAGGCCTCAGAAGCCCTGGGCAGCCACCAGCAGCAGGTCTGACACCTCACCACGGACACACGCGCATTAACCATGGTGGTCATCCCCTGGCACATACACTTCCTTGACCCCCAGCCCACCCTCTACTCATGTTCTCAGCATTTCTGACTTGCTGAGAGACTTCTAGAACCTACAGATAGGAATTAAGGTCACGTATGTGGTTCTGTGGACTAATGCATCAGACTGCAAAATTGTTTAAACTATAAGGTTAGTGGTACAAGCTCACCAGCAGCTCCTTGAAAATCCTATACAGGGTAAATATGGGTCAGAATCAACTCGATGGCACTTAACACCACCAGAGGGCCAAGGGAAATATTACACTGGGATTTCTTGCCCAGCTTAAGCAGAAAAGGAGAGCCTGTTTGACTAAGTTCAATACCACCCACAGTGCCCAAGGGAACATCTCTGAGACTGGCCAGAGGAAGTGATGTGGACAGCCAAGATGCCAAGTTTAGCTACTCCTCTAAAGTGGCCATCTTTTTGTGGAACGATATAACTGACTCTTACCAATTTCAATGACTCACAAAAAAATAGATGAAACTGACAAGAGACCTAGAATTCCACACCCCTGTTCCATCACATATTGGAAGGCTAAGGAAAACCCGTGACTCACTGGGGGGAGGGTGGAAAACATTCGATATATTGTCAGGGTGAAGTAAGCAACATGGAGCTGAGACCTGCTAACTTGAATCCTCCCAGTGAGATCAAAAGAGAGTGACTCCAAAGTTGACTTGAAATTCAGTTACTGGCAATTCAGATCCTTCCCAGCTTGATGATGCTTGGTGCTACCAGCTGGCCCGCACATCTCCCACAGTGTGGTTCCCAGACCTGGGGAATGCTGCTACACCTGCTGCTTTTGTTTTCATTTTGAGCTGGGAGACTGACAGACTACTTGTATCTTTCCAAAAATATTAAAAATGAAAACCACCACCTAATACTGCCATCATTTCTCCAAAGACGTTTTAGCACCAAAAAATAAAACTCTGACTAAATGATGGTACTTTTCAGAGAATGGAGAGACATTTTACAGAATGCCCATTTGTCCATGTTCTTCACTTTCACAGGAAGTTCCAGAAAACTCACGGTGGACCAACACAGGTGCCAGGAGCGGAGTTCCACTGAGGCAGTGCTGGGGACAGGGAAGGGGGGAAACTATAGCACCCACTGCACTCAGATCTCCCTGCTGGTGGCTCCTCCCCAAGTTGTCGTCTGCCTAGAGGTCGGGTCCGGTTGTTTCAGGAAGGAGTCTTATCAATGAAGAGGTGAGAGCAGGGATGGAATGCTCAGGGATGCAGTGAGGAGGGATCACCAGGAACCCAGGGCAAACTCAGACCAGGAAAGAAGCCCACACAGGACCATGGAACTGGGGGATGGTTCAACTCGGAGTTAACAGTTAAAGCTGAAGTGGCGGTTGGTAGAGGTGAGCAAAGCAGAAAAGCGTGGGTCCATCCATCCCTCTCAGATGCTACCCTGACCTCCAACAACTCAGTGTGTCTTCTGCGGTGTCTCATGTTCTCATCTTCTTCCCCCAAAGCTGGCCCACTCACCCATCCCCTCATCACCACCATGCATCGGTGCACAGAGCCCGCGTTCAGCAGCATCCAGCCCACAGAGAAGTCAGCTGTGGAAGACATCACTGCTTGAAGAGTTGTCTATACAAACTCTCGCCATCTCCACTCCACACCAAGCTCCTGACTTCCAAAGAGGTGGTGGGGAGTTTCCCTATCAATATGTAAAAAACTGTGGAGCCCAAGGCAATAAATTCCTGTGGAGCTACTTTGGGGACAGGCTTGGGAAGTGCCTGGCCCTCAGGTACTGCTGGTCGTGTCTGTGCTGTGAAGCCAAGGGCCTCTTATCTCTCAGGCGGCTGAGGATGGTCCACTTTACCGCAACGCCATGCCCGAAAGCCTGCCTGGTAAGAGTTGCCCCAGGAAGGAGGTGGCACAGGGGACGGCCCCCAAAGACAGGGTGGGAAGGCCTGGCTTACTCTTGTCTGACCCCTATGGTCTGTTTAGGTCTGTCTCAAACCCCAGACGATGTAGACACTACACCCTTAACCCTTCTGCCCCAGCAGAAGCTATTAGGATCTGCACCGGCCCTAAAACCAGACTTCAAAAATATTTTACTTACCGGCTTCTCTACAGAAAGACACCAGTGGGAAGCTGGCCAGGACTGGCTCCACCTTGGGACTTCAACACTTCCCTCCCTGGGGTTTGCTATTAAGGGTTCGAGGATACTCAGTCACATGAGCTAGCTTCGTACAGCGGGCTTCCTGGTCCCCCATGTCACTCCAACAGCTGCCCTGTGTCACAGCATCAGGTCTCTCAGCTCCTGGGGGACCCTCACGTAGAACAATCTATTGGACCATCTTAAAATACATACCACAAAAATCATGGGTAGGAGGGGATACATTTACTTTATAATTACTTTATAAGATATAAAGTCTTACTATTATTTACAAGGTATCACTATTATTTACCTGTTTATAAAATGGAAATAAAAATAACATGTTTGATACCAAAAGTGGCACATCCAAACTAATGTCGGTACAAAAATAAATTCTCAAGCTACGTGTTTTCAAAATAAATGGAGGGGGAGTCTGTATCATCACTGTGCTGAAAGCAAACATCTCCTCAGCAAAGTAGCTCGGGACAATGAGACCAGTGCCTGCTGGGACAGCCACCCCATGTGCTGTTGCAGGAACCCAGGCAAATACATTAAAAAAAAAAAAAAAAACCCACACACAAACACACACTCACAAATATGCAGTAGTTATGTTCCTGAGCTATTGAAGATTGGGCCATCTAAAATGTTGTGAGCCCTGCTAAAGAAGACCCCTGAAGGTCTGAGCTGCTCAGCTCTCCCCAGTGTTCTGCTCGTGGCTGCAGGACGTGGTGGTGTACTCTGAGAGGAAGCTAAGCCCACCTGGCAAATAGAGAAACCCTTGGCCAACACGGAGCAGTGCCCAAGTCCTCTGTCGATCACCAATCCTAGTGCGGGCAGAGGAAACTCAGGTGCTGCTTGGTGTGGGAGGCTCTGGACCCGTCAGATATGTTCCTGGGTGATTAGGTCAGAATCTGCCAGCATTCCCAGGGTCTCATCCTGTCTCTGATCCAGACTCGTTCACCCTGGCAGCGCTGATACAGTCAGCCCAGCAAGTCCTCTGTCCACCACTTCAAGTCCCACACCCAGCAAGTCCACACACCACTTCAACCTTCAATGGTGAGCATTCCTCCTTGCTCCCTGTCCAGCTAGGCCAGGGCTGTGTGTGCCTGCTTGAAGTGCATGCTGGGTAGTGAGTGCAAACAACCCACCGATTCCTGCCTGCCTAGTGCAGAGCCCCGTGCTGCCTGCCCAGGCAGAACTTATTCAGGATCTCGTCAAGGAGGGCAATGCTGAGGGGAGTAGGAAAGAAGGAGTAAAGGGAGGGCTTCAGAGTACTGAAGGGTCAGGCAAGCCAATGCCAGCTCCCCACCCCAAAGGTTGGAGCAGCCCTGGGCAGCATGGAGGAGAGGGCACCAGGCAGTCCCGCGTGCGGCAGCTAAACTCTCTTCACAAGTCCTGGACCTTGGCCTTTTTGGCTCTCAAGGAAAGGTGCTGCAAGAGAAGAGAAAACATTCAAGTAGGGGTCTGTCTGACAAATAAAGAAGACTCCACATAATTCACATCAGTTGTTAGTTAACAGAGCAAACACTGCCTGGCCCCACACCATCCTCATGACCTTGAGCATACGCAAGGCCACCACTGTGGCGGCTGGGTATGTGGAGTGACTTCTAGACACACTGCGCAGGCCTGAAGGTTTTCACTGGCTAAATTTTAGAAGTAGACCACCAGATTTCTCTCCCTAGTCTGTCGTCTGGAAGCTCCACTGAAACCTGTGACAGCATCAAAGCCACACACAAGCCACACCACAGTAGGACAGACTAACAGAGCAGTGGTGGGAAATGCACTGAATCAGCCAAATAACAAATCTCCTGCCTGTTTCAGCCCCTCATCGTGGCTGTGTGTCCCCTGGGAAGCAGCCTCAAGGAAAGGAGTACAAGTGAAGGCAGCAAAGGCTTGCAGTGAGCAGACGTGGGCTGAGCCTGCAACAGAGGCTGGCGAAGGTCCACTCCAGAGACACAAGGCATGATGAGGTCCCTCTCACAGATACAGCACAGCTGAGCTCTGAGGACCAGGCAAGGAAAGGCATCCTCCCCTAGAAACATAATCTACTCATTTACAAAGCATCTCAACGTGCCATGTAGCTGTGTTCAATGCTAGAGACAGGGTCTGCCCTGTGGAATGGACAGGCGTGCTGGCAAGACAGACAGGTGGGGGATGCCATGCCCCCCAATATTTCTCCCAGTAAAAATTACAAAGCACAGCTCTATAATCATGGGGGTTGAGGGATAAACTATTCTTTATCTCCTACAGTAAAGCTCAAAGTACTAAATCCCTAAAATATGTGTTTGCGGCAGTATATATGAATCACCCAGTGCAATGTCCTCGACAGTCCATTCATTGTCAAAAACAAACCGCAAAAGCAGCCCAGACGTGCTGCGCTAGTACACCGTGGAATCCTCCCATGAGGAATTCCCAGCCCGACTGTGGGCAGAGCAGGAAGCTCAGTGGCTGAATCCATTTCTAAGCACATCTACAGGGCTACAGAACAGCACTGCCCTTGGCCAACAGAGAACTGCAGGTCCTGAGAGGGGCCGGAGCAGAGCGCACCACCAGGCACAACCTCTAGAGGGCACACGACGCAGGTCAAAAGAGCTACAATTCAGCCTGTTAGCTGGCTCCTGAAAAAGGATCCCCAAATAGAGGGTCTTGCGAGACCCCCCCCCAGAAAGAAGATTCTCCCTAGACTACAAAGACAGCTGTAAATCTCAGGAAAAAACGGAAGAGCTGGAAAGCAGCTGCTCTTCTTGCCAGCTGAGGGTCTTGCTGAATTTCTCTCAATCCCCTCCTCCCTGCACTTGCCCTGAAGTGACCCCTACAGGAATGGAAGATAGCAGCATCCTGCTGCCTGTGGGACCATTTTTGGTGCAAGTTTCTGGGAAGAATGCTGTGTATAAACAAAGTGGGCTCTGGACCATTCCCAGCCTTTTTACAGGAGAGAGAGCCAGGGGACGTGGAAAGTCACCGTAGATACCAAGAAAAGCGGGGTGAGCTGAGGGCTGTGGATGGAGTTCCACAACGGAATGCCTACCGTACATGTGGCTCTGGAGAGCTGGTGGAGCACCAGTCCACAGCACGAGTGCCTTTGGACTACTCCGTGGAGGAGAGGCCAGGTTTCTGGGGCAGAGCTAGCTCAGCAAGACCCTCACTGCACAGTGAGGCTGTTGATCCAGATCACATTTCTAAAGGTCACAGCCCATCTAAACACACTCTCATCACAGGCAGTGACCCAAGTGGAGGCAATGGCCTCAATGACTAGGTGTGGAGAGAAAAAGGCAAATTTAGAAATGAGAGCTCATCATCCCTTCTTTGCTCTGTGACTCTGTGGGTCTGACCTAGGGAAGCCAAGGTCATTGTGAGCTGAGACAGGAAAACCAGTCAGCTTCCAAGCTGACTCTGTCCTAGGGCTGCATCTTCTTCCTACAATGAAGACTTGACCCCTGCGCCATGCTCTGTCCAACTCTTGGTTGGCATCACTTCCCTCCGGCTTCTGGAGGCTGCGGCTTTCCACTTGAGAGATCTTGAGATAATGGATTTTCTTTCTCTTCAGGTTATTTATCAGTCCAACAGATCAGAAACCACACACTCTGCATGTTTATCAGTCCCTGCCGGAAAATCAGGTTTCCAGCTGAAATATCTGTACCAGGACGTGTGGAGAACTACTTAAGTTTCAAGTAGTCCTTGACCAGGTGAGATTTAAATATCATAAGATTTAAGAGGGGCAAGCTCCCTTGGCCAAGCCCCTGTTTGTGATGGTGTAGGTGAAGGGTAGGTAACGGTAAAGACGAGCCTTCCATTTACAGAGTCACACACTCACACTGAAATGAACAGGGAAGCAGGATGCTGGCACCAAGAGTGTCATACCCTGAGGTCAGCACATCTTCAAGCCGGATGACCAGTCACAAGCAGACACTCACGCCCAATGTCACCAGATGGAACTTTTTTCTTTCTTTTTTTTTTGAGAGATACTAGAAATCCATATTTGACGTGCAAACCCCCAGTTCTTAAATGTGGCAGTTAAATTTGGGTTTGAAAACATTACACAGTTCCCTTCTGCTGTAAACAATTACAAAACTGGAAAAAACATCTGAAGCAACTCTTCAGGCATCAGATAACAGACAGCATAGGGCTATAATCCCTAAGAAAAAGAACCACAAGGCAAGTTCCACATTCACACCGGTTCTCGGCCCGACTGTCCAAACATCGGCACAGGAAGGGAAGGTCTCACCAGAAAACAGCAGTGCACGAAGGAAACAGAGATCAGGGTTCAGGGCTGCAGAAGCAGCTGAAAGTGACAGTCAGGGTATCAAAAAGGCAGGAGCCCAGACATCTGCAGACTGCTACCCTTAAGTCTTTGGCTGAATACTAAGCCAAACACCACAGGCCAAGATTCCATAAGGCTGACAGAGAACTGTTACTGAAAAGGTGTGGGCTGAATGGATGTGTTTAATGCTGGGAGACACTGCAGTTCTAACCTGCCATAGTGGAAACACCTCACTAGGCATCCCAATCAAGAGGAGGGCTACTCCAGATCTGCCCTCCAGATTAATAATAAAAATCAAGCCTCAATGGAATCAAACTGCTAGCCAGAAAAAACTTCAACATTCTTTAAAGGAAAAGCAAACAAAATCCAGACTCTAAATAAGATAGCATCTGAAATGTCTATTATAGCAAAATATTACTAGACATGAGAAGCATGTGGCCTACGTGAGAAGAAAAAGCAGTCAAAAAGCAAAACAGAGCAAACATGACAGATGTTGAATTTGTAAATAAGCCTTTTAAAAGACTAATTATAAATATGTTCAAAGATTTAAAGAAAAAGGTAGATGTAATGAGAGAAACACGGAGAATCTACACAGAAATGAAATTTAAAGAACCAAATGGAAACATCAGACTAGAAAAACTACAGGATCTGAAATTACAAGCTCTCTGGGTGGGCTTAGAGGCAAAGTGGACCCAAGAAAAAATGAAGAACACAAAACTATGAATCTGCAGTACAATGGTCACTGTTCATACTGAAAGGAGAGTAATGCCAGTGCTCAGCCACAACGGCTGAAATGACCTTGGGTTTAACCTCGTACATATACTGATGGGCTTTGTGGGCAAACCTCATTGAGTATTTGTACCAATCCTTGAAAATGGGTCCAAAATTCAAAAATCCACTGTCACCAAGTCACTTCTGACTCCTAATGACCTTATATAGGTCAAAGTAGAACTACTCCTTACAGTTTCTGAGACTGAAGCAAACAACATCACGCTTCTCCTGCAGACTGCTAGTGGGTTTGAACCACCAATCTTGCAGTTAGCAGCCCAATGTTTAGCCCACATCCCCACCAGGACTCCTAAAAACGATACCAAAGTTGATATAATTTATTTGCAAACGGTCCAAAAGAACAAAGGAGAGAGAGAGAGAAGAAAAGCTAGAGATGCCACTTTCTTTCTGTGTCGTGAGGTTCTTTGTAAGACAACTTCAGTGTGATAGGGATAACACAGTGCTTTCCCCCCCAATATTCCAGGGCAATGGAAATGACCTTTTCACCCAATGCCCTATTGCAGAAACAATCAAATCAGAGAATAAATGTATATTTGCAAAATATAAAGAGACAGATAACAGTTTGGGGGATAAGCTCTATTCAACCCTACCGTTCCTTGTTGGTAAAAGTGCGGAGCCAGCTCCAACAGCCAGGCAGATTCAATAGCAGTCACATCTCTCATATAATACTTGGAAGTTTGTATGACTTCATTGTAGATAACCCTAAAACAATAAAGAAACATAAGCCAATTTTCCATCTCTCAATGATAATCAGGAACCAAACAATTAGAGATGAGGCTTTACTGTTATTTTCTTTTCCCTTACCCTTTAATATTAGCCTATTCCCCATACCATGTATGCTGCTCACTTAAGCCTCATGGCCCTGAGTGGTGGGTAGATAATGTGTCCATTTTACAGGTAAGACTCTTAAGTCCTATGTGAGTTCCAGGACATCTCAGTTTATCAGCATACGATCTATCTGGATCCTTGGTCTATATTTACAGAACTTTGAACACAGCTAATTACTTTATCAAATTCAGAAATAAACGGGGGGAAAAAACAGGGCTTACCTAATTCTGAAAGGAGCTGAAAGTTGAGTATGAAGAGACAGACTTTCTAGAATTATGAAAATATTCTGTGCCTTAGTTAGAATGAGTGCACATTTGTGAAATGCATCTGATTGTACATAAATTACACTTATATCTAAAAAATATACCTAGAGAGATCTTGCTTTTGGTGAAGATCAGACAACCAAAAAGTCAGGAAAATAATCTCAAATCCCCAGATCTACGGAGCACAGAAGAGCTGATGTAGGGATATTAGTTTCTGATATACAGGAAGAGTTGATTTAGGGCTGCCTTTATAATCAACACCTCAGCCACCCTGTGGCTGCTCAGCCTCCACAAGTGAGGGGGGTGGGACCCATGTGAAGGGAGGGACCCTCAGCAAAGCTGCAGCAAGAGGAGGACCAGTTTCTCTGGCACCTGAACACTGTGGATGTTTTAGGATTAGCTCTATTTCCACTGTCCTTTCTTTGCCTTTTATACCTGTTGGGAGCAAAGCAGGAAAAAGAAAAGCTTTTTTCTTTTAGGGTGACTTCAAAACTGGGCCACCCCAATGTTAGCAAGCCCTAGAAAAAAGATCCTGACCTGAGACTTGGCTATCCTCTTCAATTTATCCTGAAAAACATACGGTTCCAATGGAGGGACCCAGTCACGCCCCCACTCAGAAGCTTCCACTGGGCCGGTGCTGATTACAGGATAGGGTCTAATTCCTGGTCTAAGGTAGTAGATTTCACACTTCACCATGCACTAGGATCACCTGGAGGGCACTTAAAACACAGACTGCTGGGCAGGGACAGAGAATCTGCATTTCGAACAAGTTCCCAGGTGATGCTGACACTGGTTGGCTGGGGGACCACACTTTGAAAACCACAGGTCTAGGGAATAAAGTACTTTGTAGTGTGTCCTCTCATTTTATCTCCAGTGTCTCCCCTCCCACTCTGCACAAATGCCTGACTCTGTCCCAGGGCTTCTTCATCTATCATCTAGTGAAGGACTAGTTGTTTTTCAAACTTCCAATCCCTTGTATATCAATATTTTTGCAAAATATATAAATTTAGAGAAAACACAATGAAAAGAAAAGACACCTTAATACACAAGCTCAATTTTTTGACTTAATTACTAAATTGGGCAGACAGAAACGTAACCTGCCAAACAGCCACCAAAATGCCTGAATACCCCCACCCTCTCCTGACTTCCGTGCTGACCTCTCCCTGGGCAGACCCAGAGACCAAAGCTTTGAAGTGCACTGACCCAGTTACACTAGGGAGAACCCATTTCCGGGTCTGGAAAGCCCTTTGCCAGGACAGCTTCTGTTTCCAGGTCCAGACCCAAGGTGTTCTCCTCCACGAAGTCAGTTCTGATGCCCGGCACAGCAAGTGCCAACCCCAGCACATCATCATCCCCTGTTCAAAGGTCTCTCCTCCGCTCCTGGAAGCAGAGCCTATCTGCGCTTCAGATCAGGGAGCTCCCACACACGGCCCTTTCTAGCTGGGTGAGCACAGGATCTCGCACCTTGTCAGTGGTGAGGACAGGCTAATGAAGAGGGTGAGCGAGCAGGTGGCCATCAGGCCTGCCTCACATCTCTCACAGCAGAATCTCTACAGACAGCACAGCGCAACCAAGTCAGTGTATGCCGAGCACCTGTCCTCTGTGCCCTCAGCAGCAGGCTATGCCTTCCAAGCAGCCACAAGGCCAGGCAGTGGTAGGGGCTTACCAGCGGGGCGGCTTCTCCACATAGAGGACAGATGCAGGGTGGATGTGCAACTCATGGTCATCGCGGATTGTCCTGGAAAAAGACAGACGTGCGTCCAAAGGACACTTTAAAGACCGAAAGCAAGGCTTTCCCACAGACTAGTTTGTTTTGAAAAAACACACTGCAACTTAGGTTCCCCTTTGACAATATCCACACAAACTTATCAATAAATGACACTAGTTCCATGTTTCACGTTGTGTCAACATTCTCACTGTGATCCAGTTATTTCATTTCCAGATTCCCTCTCCCCTTGTCTTCCCATCTTTGTTTGGATTAAATGTTGACCTTTGGACTCATACAGCTGCTTTTTAGCAGAGCACCAAATCCAGAGCCTGGATTTTGTGCATCACTACACTTTTCTGTTAAAAGCTGATCATCCTGGGGTTGTTTGGGTTCAAGGTTTGAAGAGTGTCTCAAAACAAGTCTTAACGAATCCTCTGGTCTCAGTGTTCCTATTAACCTGGCTGTTTTCACAGGTGAGTGTTGCTCTGCATTTCCCTCCAACTATAACCAGGCTCAACCATCGTGGCCCCGGTCAGCCGGGCACCATCTAGCTTCTCTATCCTCAGGGGAGTTTGAGTTCATGGCTCCTGTTCTTAACTTTTTTGCTCCTGACAAATAGAACCCAATAGTTTCTATTATTATTACTATTATTATGTTAGAAGGCTGCTTGCAAACTTTTAAGACCCCAGATGCTACTTATTTCACTAAGATGCAGAACATAAACTTTAGAGTTATACTATGTCAGCTGACTGAGTTGTCTAGTATGACTAAGGTCCTAAGACTTCACACTTAGAAATCCAAGTGTGCAAGTTGTTCAGTTGTATCTGAGAAGCACCTGTAATTGCCTCCTATGAATACATGTTTGTACAGAGATACCTCTACTTAGACATACTTCTATTTGTGTACACTGTGTATCCCCCTGTATGTACCCATGGACCTATAGACCTATACACATATACACGTGCCCATACACTCATTAGTACTACCAGTGAACACTGGTCTCTTTTATATATCTCTATGCTTGTCTCCTTATAAAAGAGAGATCCTACAATATTTGCCCTTTTGGGTTTCACTTATTTCACTTAGCAGTATGCCTTCCCAGTCAATCAACGTGATGTTTCTCAGTCTCATCACTGGTGTGGGGTAGTGAATTCTCTAATGACGCTTCTAGTCATAGTCTGTAAGTCCTGCCAAACAAGGTTTTTGCCCTGCTGGGTCTGGGTATGAGAAAGTGGAAGAAGATACTGACAGGATGACATGATTCCGCTGTGATGGTTAGCAGAGTTCCTTGTAACTGTAAAAACTTGAAAACTCTAGTATGGCTTTAAAACGAGCCATCTCAGAAGCAGGAGGGGATCTCACTACCATCAAACAAGAAGAGCTACAAGTGGAGGGTAGCTCTGGACCCCGACATCCTTGCACATTGAACATCTTTGACACAGGGTCAGAAAACTGTGACACTAGAAGGCAGAGGAGCAGCAGCAGCAGAACCAAGAGCCAGAGCATGAGACAGAGTGGTGAGCTTCCCAGCCCACAGAACAAGTAAAGCTGAGTGACTTTCAGTGAGAAACAAGCTTGCTTGTAGAATGGGGTACCTTAAGGCACTAAGCTAGGTTTGATGACCACGGAGATAGAGCCAAGTGCCTTTGGGCTGAAGCTTATGGTGGAGTGGTGTTGTGTCCTGTGGGCATTTATCAACAGTTGAGTGGAACAATTGTGCCCTGAGCATTTCTGACCCAGAGTTGTAACCTGATAACTTCCCTAATAAGGAGCCCTGGTAGCATAATGGATTACAAGCTGGGCTGCTAACTGTAAGGTCAGCAGTTTGATTCTACCAGTCACTCCGCTTTCTGCTCCCATAAAGATTTACAGCCTCAGAAACCCTCTTCAGAGTCACTATGAGTTGAAACCAATGCCACTGTACTTTACAGTAACTTCCCTAATAAACAAACACCGTAACTCTGAGTATGGTGTCTGAGTTCTGTGTGGCCATTGCAACAATGATCTAACCCAAATGAGGAATAGCGACAGTTGGGGAAGGAATGGCTGGTGCTTCATATATGTGCATACTTGTACACAGTATCCCATCATGTGTACAAGTATGCACCACATTTTGCTCATCTATTCATCCACGGATCCAAAGATCCCAATCTTTGCTACAGTGAATAAAGCTGCAATAACCATAGCAGAGCACATCTCTGTTTGTCACCATAGTTAAGTCTCATGGGTACTTCTCTAGGGATGGAACTGCTAGATAGTACAGTAGTTTTATTTCTTGTTTTCTGAGAAAGTGTCATATCATTTTCCAGAGTGGCTGGATCATTTCATATTCCTATCAGCAATGCATAAAGGTTCTAATCTCACATCCTCCCCAACATTTGTTGCTTTTTTTTTTTTTTCTGTTTATCAATGTCATTTTAGCTGGGTAAGATGGTATCTTATTGTTGTTTTGACTTCATCTCTATTGCCAATGACAATAAGCATCTTTTTCTGTTTGTTGGCTACTTGAATGTCTTTTCTGGTTCATGTCCTAATTGGGCTGTATTTTTGTTATTGTACTGTTGATGTTTTCTATACATTTAGAAATTAGACCCTTGTTTTTTCCAAAGTTGTGTACCACTCTATAGGTTGTCTTTTTACTTTATAATGTCTTCTGGTGAGCGTAAGCTTTTAATTTGTATGAAACATCATTGGTCTTCTTCTATTCATGTATTTCTTACGTTTACTACTCTATTTTTAGAAAAGACTAGTCAACAGTTCTCTGTTTTCTTCTAGGAATTTATAGTTTTAGTTTTAACATTTAGCTCTTTGACCCATTTTGAGTTAATTTCTGTGTATAGTGTGAGAAATAGTCCTGCTTTATTTTTCTGCAAGTGGATAACCAAGTTTTCACCCTACTGAGTGAACTTGGACCCCTTATTGAAAACCAGTTGTCCATAGATTGTTGTTGTTAGGTGCCATCAAGTCGGTACTGACTCATAGCAACCCTATGCACAGCAGAACAAAACACTGCCTGGTCCTGGGCCAACCTCACAATTGTTGCCACACTTGAGTCCATCGATGCTGCTACTTTGCCAATCCATCTAGCTGGGGGTCTTCCTCTTCTTCTCTGACCCTCCACCTTACCAAACATGATATCCTTCTCCAGGGACTGGTCCCTCTTGACAACATGTCCAAAGTATGAGAAACGAAGTCTGGCCATCTTGTCCTCCAAGGAGCAATCTGGCTGCACTTCTTTCAACACAAATCTGTTGGTACATTTGAGCCCATGGCACTTTCAATATTCTCCTGCAACACCGTAACTCAAAAGCCTCAATTCTTCTACGGTATTCCTTGTTCACTGTCCAGCTTTCGCTTGCATATGAGGTCATTTAAGATACTATGTCCCTAGATGGCTGAGCTTAATTCTGAGTTCTCAGTTTTATTCTGCTGAGCCATGGATCCATCACTGAATTTCAGGAGCTGCATAGCAGGTTTTCATACCAGAGAGAGTGAGAGGCCTGTTGCTTTCTACTTTTTCTTAAATTTCACTTTGGCTATTTGGGGTTTCTTCCCTTTCCATATAAAGTTGGTTATTAGTTTTTCCATTTCAGTTAAGAATGTAGTTGGTTTGCATTTTATCTGTGGTTCATTTTAAGCAGAATTGACATTTTCACTACATTAAATCTTCTACTCCATTAGCAAATGATGGCTTTTCATTTTTGTAGGTCTCTTTCAGTCTTGTAATATTTTTAATTTTCATTGTGTGAGTTTTTTTATGTCCCCTGTTAAATTAATTCCTAGGTATTTTATCACTTTGAGGGTTATTGTAAATGGTATTGTTTCCTTGATTTCATTTTTGGAGTACTCTTTGTTTATATAAAATAATCCAACGAAATTTTGTGTGTTGATAGTGTATCCTGACACATTGCTAAATTATTCTATTGGCATTGTTTTTCTTGTTAAGTGCCGCCAAGTCAGTTCCAATTCACAGCGACCCTATATAGGGTTCCCAAGGAGCAGCTGGTGGATTTGAACTGTTGACCTTGTGTTTCACAGTTCAGTGCTGATCCTCTATCGGCGCTAGCAATTACTTTTTGTAGAATCTTTATAGCCTTCTATATATAAGATCAAGTTCTGGTGTGTAGGGTAAGCACTTGACTGTTAACCATGAGACTGGCGGTTCATACCCACAGGTCACTCCTGGGAAACCCTATACAGGGCTGCTATGAGTCGGAACTGACTCAATGGAACTTAACATGCATAGGAACATGTCACCTGCAAATAGTGGTAGTTTTACTTCTTCCTTTCTGATTTGGATACTTTCCATTTCTATTTCTGGCCTTATTGCTGTTTTATTGTGAATTGTATGATAGTTTACATGGGAGAACATTAGCTTTACATTCATCCTATTGTATATCGTTTCATTGCCATGGTTACAAGCCTCTCTACACATCATCAATACAAGCCTGCCCTCCCTACTCGTCAGCAAACAGCCCCTCTCCCTCTCTGGGTCTAGAGTTCCCAGCCACTCTATCTCTCCATGTCATCATCTCTGCCTCCATCTCTGGCGTCACGTATCTCTGGGTAGGGTCCCACATTCTGCTCTTCTCCCTTGATGGTCCTAGGGGCCTCTGCTCCTGGACTGCAAAGTCAACCACTCCTTTCCTTTTGCTACAAAATGTCTACCTATACATTTCCAACCCTCACAGTCAGTCCTGATAGCAATTATTCACTATTGTACCATATGAATGCTATCCCCATCTCCTTTCACCAGCCTTGCCCAGAGAGATTGAATACTACTCAGTGGAGATTCTACCTTTCTCTGTGACCTCTGGATCTAGGTTCCATCTTTTTTTTTTATTTTTTATTTAAAGGTTTGTTCCCTCTTGAACCTAGTAGTATCCAATCTGTCTAGGCGGGGCTGATGAAATGAAATGCAGATGGGTCTCTTGTGATACAATAGTCAATAATTGTTATCAGGACTAATTGTGAGGGTTGGAAATGTAAAGGTAGACGTTTTATAGCAAGGAGGGGAGTGATTAATTTTC